TATATAAATAAACATGAATTTCTGCCGAATTGCAAAACTGGTGCAAACATATCCACAGCCCTATGATCAGATGCTTTCTCGACTACACCCCTCTCATCATTCTTATTGAGTGTTTGTTGTGTTTTTAAGAAAACAGCACATATTTACATATTCATTTGAAAGTAAACATCACACCCAACAGCATAGGTGGCATCATAATGTTTGTAAACAGTATACCGCTGCTCAAGTATTTTGCATTTCGTTTTTTAGCCCCTGAACGAAGAATGAAACAGAACTTTCCTGTTGGTATATTGCTGTCTTTATTCGAGATGGAACGGACTGTAAAAAAACATAGTACACCTATTCTTTAAACTTATATACTGACTAAATCCAATTCGGGTCTAATATCCAACTTGGTGCAACTTGACATGCCAAATTTGAATGGGATTGGAGAACTGGCTGGAAGAGAAAACTGTGATCTAAATAGTGACCTACATTTCCATCTAGTCCTTACACAGCTAGATCACATCGTCTGGACGACTTTTATGGTGCTGTTTTTATCATAGCTCTTATCATACTCCGTAGACCAGGGATCTCAACCCCTTCTCCTGGAGAGCTACAGTCCTGCAAACTTCAGCTCCAACACGCCTGCCTGTAATTGTCAAGTAACCCAGAACACCTTGATTAGCTGGTTCAGGTGTGTTTGGTTGGGGATGGAACTGAATTCTGCAGGACGGCAGCTCTCCAGGAGCAGGGTTGGAGACCCATGCTGTAGAATATTTTGTGTTCCACCATAGCTTTAGGACAACACTGGGGTGAGTAAGTAACAATTTTTGGGTCCACTAACCCAGTTTTTCCCAACTCTGTTCCTGGAGGCACACCAACAGTACTAATTTTGGATGTCTCCCTTTGTCTGAGCGACCCATTTTAGGGTTTGGAGTATCTACTAACGTGCTGATGAGTGGAATCAGGTGTGTTTGATTAGGAAAATTAGAAAATTTGTAGTTTTGGTGTGCCTTTAGGAGCATGGTTGGAAAACACTAAACCAGGGCTCTCCAACCCTGCTCTTGGAGAGCTACAGTCCTGCAGACTTCAGCTCCAACACTACTCCAGCACACCTGCCTCTAATTGTCAAGTAACCCAGAACACCTTGATTAGCTGGTACAGGTGTGTTTGGTTGGGGTTGGAACTGAAATCTGCAGGACGGTAACTCGTCCTCGTCCCAACCTCTCGGGACTTACTTTGGTTGGGTTAAAAATATCAAGCTCTGTGTTTAAAATGGGACACATGGGCTTTCTTTCAGGTCAAAGTGGAGCTGGGAACAATTGGGCCAAAGGCCACTACACTGAGGGAGCAGAGCTAGTCGACTCAGTTCTGGATGTGGTACGTAAGGAGTCCGAGAACTGTGACTGCCTGCAGGGCTTCCAGCTCACGCACTCCCTAGGCGGAGGCACCGGGTCTGGTATGGGCACCCTCCTCATCAGCAAGATCCGTGAGGAGTACCCCGACCGCATCATGAACACTTTCAGCGTCATGCCTTCACCCAAAGTGTCAGATACAGTGGTGGAGCCCTACAATGCTACGCTCTCTGTGCATCAACTGGTGGAGAACACCGATGAGACCTTCTGCATCGACAACGAAGCACTCTACGACATTTGCTTTCGCACACTTAAACTTACCACACCTACTTACGGCGACCTGAACCACCTTGTTTCAGCAACCATGAGCGGAGTCACCACCTGCCTGCGATTCCCAGGTCAACTTAATGCCGACCTCCGCAAGCTGGCAGTCAACATGGTGCCCTTCCCTCGCCTCCACTTCTTCATGCCCGGATTTGCGCCCCTGACAAGTCGGGGTAGCCAGCAATACCGTGCTCTTTCAGTGCCAGAGCTAACACAGCAGATGTTTGATGCCAAGAACATGATGGCAGCCTGTGACCCGCGACACGGCCGCTACCTCACCGTGGCAGCCATCTTCCGTGGCCGTATGTCCATGAGGGAGGTGGATGAGCAGATGCTGAGCATCCAGAACAAGAACAGCAGCTATTTTGTGGAATGGATCCCAAACAACGTCAAGACGGCAGTCTGCGACATCCCGCCACGTGGCCTCAAAATGTCCGCCACGTTCATCGGCAACAGCACAGCCATTCAAGAGCTGTTCCGCAGGATTTCAGAGCAGTTCACCGCCATGTTCAGACGCAAGGCTTTCCTGCACTGGTACACTGGCGAGGGAATGGATGAGATGGAGTTCACAGAGGCAGAAAGCAATATGAATGACCTGGTCTCTGAGTACCAGCAGTACCAAGACGCCACCGCTGACGAAATGGGCGAGTATGAGGAGGATGATCTTGAAGATGAGGAGGATGCACGCCATTGAGAGAGCTGATAGGCATGTTGTTTTCAAAATCATTGCTTTTAGCTGATCTGAGAATTTCCATAGCAATGCAAACAGTGACGGTACACCATAATTGTGAACATTCATTCAGTGAACAGCGATCAATGAATCTTGGGGAGGGTATTTAAGTCATGCTTTGTAACATATGCTTAAAATTGCAGTTGCCAAGTAAAATAAAGTGGTCACTAATATAAAGTTGTCTCCTGTCAAAATGGCTCAATTAATTTTTACACATTCATTCATTAATTACACTCAAGCAAAAAAAAAATTATGTCCTTTAGTCAGATGACTGTAAGCAAGCCATTCATTGGTTGAATACTCTAAAGCAGGGGTTCTCAACTCTGGCCCTCGAGGTCCAATTTCCTGCAGAGTTTAGCTCCAACCTTGATCAAACTCAACTGCCAGTAACTTTCTAGTCCTCACGGACCTTGATTAGCTTGTTCAGGTGTGTTTTTTTTATTAGGGTTGGAGCTAAACTCTGCAGGAAATTGGACCTCGAGGGCCAGAGTTGAGAACCCCTGCTTTAGAGTATTCAACCAATGAATGGCTTGCTTACAGTCATCTGACTAAAGGACAGATTTTTTTTTTTGCTTGAGTGTAATTAATGAATGAATGTGTAAAAATTAATTGAGCCATTTTGACAGGAGACAACTTTATATTAGTGACCACTTTATTTTACTTGGCAACTGCAATTTGAAGCATATGTTACAAAGCATGACTTAAATACCCTCCCCAAGATTCATTGATCGCTGTTCACTGAATGAATGTTCACAATTATGGTGTACCGTCACTGTTTGCATTGCTATGGAAATTCTCAGATCAGCTAAAAGCAATGATTTTGAAAACAACATGCCTATCAGCTCTCTCAATGGCGTGCATCCTCCTCATCTTCAAGATCATCCTCCTCATACTCGCCCATTTCGTCAGCGGTGGCGTCTTGGTACTGCTGGTACTCAGAGACCAGGTCATTCATATTGCTTTCTGCCTCTGTGAACTCCATCTCATCCATTCCCTCGCCAGTGTACCAGTGCAGGAAAGCCTTGCGTCTGAACATGGCGGTGAACTGCTCTGAAATCCTGCGGAACAGCTCTTGAATGGCTGTGCTGTTGCCGATGAACGTGGCGGACATTTTGAGGCCACGTGGCGGGATGTCGCAGACTGCCGTCTTGACGTTGTTTGGGATCCATTCCACAAAATAGCTGCTGTTCTTGTTCTGGATGCTCAGCATCTGCTCATCCACCTCCCTCATGGACATACGGCCACGGAAGATGGCTGCCACGGTGAGGTAGCGGCCGTGGCGAGGGTCGCAGGCTGCCATCATATTCTTGGCGTCAAACATCTGCTGCGTTAGCTCAGGAACTGATAGAGCGCGGTATTGCTGGCTACCACGACTTGTCAGGGGTGCAAATCCAGGCATGAAGAAGTGGAGGCGAGGGAAGGGCACCATGTTGACTGCCAGCTTGCGGAGGTCGGCATTAAGTTGACCTGGGAATCGCAGGCAGGTGGTGACTCCGCTCATGGTTGCTGAAACAAGGTGGTTCAGGTCGCCGTAAGTAGGTGTGGTAAGTTTAAGTGTGCGAAAGCAAATGTCGTAGAGTGCTTCGTTGTCGATGCAGAAGGTCTCATCGGTGTTCTCCACCAGTTGATGCACAGAGAGCGTAGCATTGTAGGGCTCCACCACTGTATCTGACACTTTGGGTGAAGGCATGACGCTGAAAGTGTTCATGATGCGGTCGGGGTACTCCTCACGGATCTTGCTGATGAGGAGGGTGCCCATACCAGACCCGGTGCCTCCGCCTAGGGAGTGCGTGAGCTGAAAGCCCTGCAGGCAGTCACAGTTCTCAGACTCCTTACGTACCACATCCAGAACTGAGTCGACTAGCTCTGCTCCCTCAGTGTAGTGGCCTTTGGCCCAATTGTTCCCAGCTCCACTTTGACCTGAAAGAAAGCCCATGTGTCCCATTTTAAACACAGAGCTTGATAAAAAATTGGGTTGGTTTCATTCAGGGCTCTCCAACCCTGCTCCTGGAGTTACCGTCCTGCAGATTTCAGTTCCAACCCCAACCAAACACACCTGTACCAGCTAAGCAAGGTGTTCAGAGTTACTTGATAATTACAGGCAGGTGTGTTGGAGCAAGTTTGGAACTGAAGTCTGCAGGACAGTAGCTCTCCAGGAGCAGGTTTGGAGATCCCTGGTTTAGTGTTTCCCAACCCTGTTCCTGGAGGCACACCGAAACTACAAATTTTCAAACTTTTCCTAATCAAACACACCTGATTCCACTCATCAGC